CACTCCTTTGGCTGAGAAGCAACTCCACACATGAAAGCAGTCTCTTCCCTCCTGGGTGACAAAGGTACGCTGTGTTTGGTATCCCTGGGTTCAAAATACAATTCTGAATATTAATCTGCCAGTTACTAGAATACCATGTGCACGTATTGGAGGTTATTAAAATTACTGTAAAGCTGTAGTTGGGACTTGGTGAAGGAGAGCACTCGTTTAACATCAATCAAGAAACATCTTAACGACTTGAGAGCCAAGGCAACGTTTTTTGCTCGGACAATTGGACTCTGTTAAACCAGGACTTTGCAAGTATTCTGCCTTCTTAACTCCTTGCTTTTATTTCTCCGTTGCTGTATTATTCTCTATGTCTTTGTAACATCCCTTTCTGTAAATATTTAAATTGCACCATTTTGACCTTTTTAATAATAAACCCTATTTTGAAAAGTGTTGGAACTAACTTAACGCTTTTAATGCAAACTAAAGAATCCCTGTCTCTTGAAGAGCTCTACTCTATATAATAATTCTCTGAATATACCTGTCTGTGGTGACAGTGTGTGTTACAGACATTTATTGTTCACAAATGTTCTTGCTAACATTTTGAAGTGTTGCTAGGCCCAAAGCTATCTGGTGGTAGTTTGTCAGGGGGTTAGGTTAATCACACAATTAACCCTTCAAACTCCAATCGCTCTCAGGCTGATGGCACTTAGATTGTGGTCCCATAAGACTGGAAAATCTTTGTGCAGGGTGCAGCTGAGAGTCACTGAGAAGTGACAGCACGGTGTGAGATTGGCTGGTCCTTTGTCACAAGTTGGTGAGAAGGGCGGGGGTTGGGCACTGCGTTCGTCACACTCCTTACTGCTATACTTACTGCAGGATAGGGGAGGAGCTGATATCTGCAGGCATAGTGTGCTTATCGGGGCGGGGTGGGGCATCTCGTGCAGCCTGATGCTTGGAAGTTGAGGTCCCAGGGGCTGATCTCTGGCCAGTGGGGAAGAGGCAGAGTGGTATGCAAGTGCAGTTAGTGCATTGTGTGTGAAGATAAGACCTGCCACTGGAGTTACTATAGGTAACAGAGGTGTGCTTCGTTGAAACTCACCTCTGCACCACCCTGGCCGCAACTCACCCCTGCACCGTGTGTTTGGCTCATCTCTGCACCTTGTCTGCAACTCACCTGTTAATTTACCTCTGCAACACCTGACTGCAGCTCACCTTTGCACTCTGCCCCATCCCTCTCCATTGCCTTCATATGCTTAGCTACCTTTGCAAAATACAACTGTCAGCAGCCAGACCCTCTCTGTAGTAACTCCCATCCAAAACGGTCTCCAGCTCACCTCTGCACCCCCTGTTTACAGCTTATCTTTGCAACCCCTGTTCACAGCTCACCTCTGTATCTTACGATCTTGCTCATCTCTACACTTCACATCCAAAACTTACCTCTGTACCCCCATCCACAACTGTCTGAAGTTGGCCTCTGCACCCCGTGTTCACTGCTCACCTCTGCACCCCCATCCACAACTGTCTGAAGTTGGCCTCTGCACCCCCTGTCCACTGCTCACCTCTACACCCCCCCCCATCCACAGCTCACCTCTACACCCCCTGGGGTGTGCAGGGGTGAGCTTCGAGCAGAGGTGAGCTGAGTTGGGGCCGAGGGGTGAAGAGTGGAGATGCAGACAGAGGGTGCAGAGGTGAGCTACAAACAGTTGTGGATGGGGGTGAAAAGGTAAGTTGTGCACATGAAGTGTGGAAATGAGCTGTGGATGGTGGGGTCAATGAGCTGTGGACAGGAGCGTGCAGATGTGAGCTGCAGACAGTTGTAGATGGGGGTGCAGAAGTGAGTTGTGGATGGAGGTGCAGAGGTAAGTTGTGGACAAGTAATGTGGAGATGAGCTGTGCATGGGAAGGCAGGGTGAGCTGTGGATGGTGTGGTGCAGAGATGAGCTTTGGACAAGGGTGCAGAGGTCAGTTGTGGACAGTGGGGTACAGAGGTGAGGACAAGAGTTGCAGGTGAATGATGTAGTGCGCACTAGGGATGCATCGGTGCTGATACAGAGTATTTTATAGGTACTGTGAAAAACTCTTGATACCTTAACGATACTTTCCAGTGTGATTTGCGTTAACAGATGCAAATTGCACCGTAGAGATTTAGCATGCAAATCGCATGCAATATGAACAGGAATGTGATTCCAGTCCAAATCGCATGTGGTTTCCCTACTGCTACTGTGTGAACCAAGGCTTCTCATAGCTGAATTCACACAGGAGCAGTGCGGGAAACATCCCTGCAGGCATCACATGCTGAGTCTCGGCATCTAAATTGTCAGCACCTTCCATGTGAATCTTATTATAAAATATACTGTAGGCCTGGGTTCACTCTTGTGTCATGAACTCTTCAAGAACCTTTTTGAGATGCCTAAAACAGGAAACTTGGAATGACATGACCATCTGGCAACATACACTATATTGCCAAAAGTATTGGGACAGCCCTCCAAATCATTGGATTCAGGTGTTCCAATCCCCTCCATGGCCACAGGTGTATAAAATCATCACCTAGGCATGCAGACTAATGCAGGCCATAGATGGGGAGAAAACCGGCCGATTTTTCTTTAAAAAAACGAAAAATCGGTCGTTCAATCGGCCGACGTTACCAGGAACGGTAAAAAAAATAAAAAATAAAAAAAATCGGCCGATTTTCATCCCGTCTACAGCTGGCAAAAAGTGTCTCTGCAGAGAGCTCCACTATTTGACAGTTCTTTGACATTTATAGTGGCTGCAACATTGTATCTATTTGTATCCATTTCAAATACAGATTTTTTTTAATTCGAAAACAAAATAGATACATTGTTGCAGCCGATATAAATGTCAAAGAAATAGCGGAGCTCTCTGCAGAGACACTTTTTGCCGAATTGGAATTCTTCTTCTTTTTGTCTTCCTCTTGCAGGTCACTGCTCACGCGCAGATTTTGTATCGGTAAAAACATCGGCCAATTTGCCCATCATTGCCGCGAAAATCGGCCGATTTTTTTCAAACTTTACCGATAAAAAAAAATCTGCCAAAATATCGAAAAACGGCCGACCTATTAACCCACTAACGAGCCATAAATCGGGCGATTTTCGACCCATCTATGGCCTGCATAATTCTACAAACATTTGTGACAGAATGGGTCGCTCTCAGGAGCTCAGTGACTCCAAGCGTGGTCCCGTGATAGGTTGCCACCTGTGCAATAAGTCCATCCGTGACATTTCCTGGCTACTAAATATTCCACAGTCAACTGTTAGTGGGATTATAACAAAGTGGAAGCAACTGGGAACAACATCAACTCAGCCACCAAGTGGTAGGCCACATAAAATGACAGAGCGGGGGTCAGCGCATGCTGAAGCGCAAAGTGCGCAGAATTCACCAATTGTCTGCAGAGTCAATAGCTAAAGACCTCCAAACTTTGTGTGGCCTTCAGATTAGCACAACAACAGTGCATAGAGAGCTTCATGGAATGGGTTTCCATGGCCAAGCAGCTGCATCCAAGCCTTACATCACCAAGTGCAATGCAAAGTGTCAGATGCTGTGGTGTAAAGCACGCCGCCACTGGACTTTAAATCAGTGGAGACATGTTCTATGGGGTGAAAAAATCATGTTTCTGTGCCTGGCAATCAGATGGACGTGTCTGGGTTTGGTAGTTGCCAAGAGAACGGTACTTGTCTGACTGCATTGTGCCAAGTGTAAAGTTTGGTGGAGGGGGAATTATGGTGTGGGGTTCTTTTTCAGGGGATGGGCTTGGCCCCCTAGTTCCAGTGAAGGGAACTCTTAAGGCGTTAGCATACAAGACATTTTGGAAAATTTCATGCTCCCAAATTTGTGGGAATAGTTTGGAGATGGCCCCTTCCTGTTCCAACAAGACTGCGCACCAGTGCACAAATCAAGGTCCATGGATGAGCGAGTTTGGGGTGGAGGAACTTGACTGGCCTGCAGAGTCCCGACCTCAACCCCATAGAATACCTTGGGATGAGTTAGAGCAGAGATTGCAAACCAGGCCTCCTCACCCGACATCAGTGCCTGACCTCACAAATGTGCTTATGGAAGAATGGTCCAACCTTCCCATAGACACCCTCCTAAACCTTGTGGACGGCCTTCCCAGAAGGGTTGAAGCTGTTATAGGTGCAAAGGGCGGGGCCAACTCAATATTGAACCCTACAGATTAAGACTGGGGGCCATTAAAGTTCATGTGTGTGTAAAAGCAGGCGTCCAAATACTTTTGGCAATATAGTGTATGTCAAAGGTTATTCTGGACCTTGTTTGTTGTTATGTCTATAGTGTAATATACCATACTTGGCAATCTATCCAAAATCATACTGACAAGACTGCAAATATCTGCAACCAATGTTGAACCATGTATATGCCCTCTACACAGTATAAATACTCTGTAAAAGAGCAGCCCTGGTCCATGCACATGTACGAGTCAATAAACACTTCCATTTGTGCACCGGAAGTATAAGTGGTCTGACTAAATTCCACAAGACCAGCGCTGTACCTATCTGCAGCAGCACTGCTATATCTTCCTCTTCTCACAGGACACAGAGGTGACAGAGGGAGCCACGGGCTCCTGTTGCTGTCAATCAGATCCTTTGAGGGAGCAAGGGGCATGGCTGAGCTGCACTGTGTATGTCAATGGATGCACACAGTCTGGTTTGAGAGCACACCCACACGTATTCCCCCATAGCACACATCTTCCCCCATTGCGCAGAGCAGGTAAGTATAGCAAGTATAGCATTTTAGGTAAAGAAAAAAAATACCTTCACAACCTCTTTAACCACCTCCCGCCCACCATATAGTAAAATGATGGGTGCAAGGTGGTTCTCTCGTTCTGGGAGGACGTCATATGACGTCCTCCCCATTCTTACCACGCATGCGCTGCTCAGTGAGCGCGCAGCAGCGCGGCGATCGGCGGTTCGCTGTGTCCCTCGGACACAGCGGATCACCGATTCACGGAAAGAGCCGAAGATGTCGGCTCGGTCATGTGATCAGCTGTATCCAATCACAGCTGATCACATGTAAACAGGGAAATGTCGGTTATCGGCATTTCTCTCCTCACGAGCTGTCACGCTGACAGCTCGAGAGGAGAGCAGAGCTGGTAATCGACTTTCCGCGGAGGGGACATGTACACTGATCATCAGGGCACTGATGATCAGTGTGCCCTGATGATCAGTGTAGCCCCAGAAGTGCCACCTGTCAGTGTCCATCAGTGCCTTGTGTCAGTGCTCATCAGTGCCACATATCAGTGCCTACCAGTGCACATCAATGCCACATATCAGTGCCCATCTGAGCTGCCTTTCAGTGTCACCCATCAGTGCCAATCAGTGCCACCTATCAATGCCAATCAGTGCCACCTATCAGTGCCAGTCAGTGCCGCCTATCAGTGCCCGTCAGTGCCGCCTATCAGTGCCCGTCAGTGCCACCTATCAGTGCCAGTCAGTGCCGCCTATCAGTGCCATATATCAGTGCTGCCTTTCAGTGCCCATCAGTGCCACCTACCAGTGCCTCCTCATCAGTGCCACCAATCAGTGGTTGTGCTTGTGGTTAAAGCCCAAATAGGGACACAATATGCATACTGGAGGTAAAGAATAAATACAGCCAAAGCTTTTTTTGGCTGTACTTTTGGTAATCACATTAGTTTAGTTCATTTTGTGCTCCTGTCACCTATTTTCAGCCAACAGTGGGCTAAAGCCTGCTGTTGGCTGAAGTCACAGAGAAAGACCAGGCCCTGAACAAAACCTGAAAAATGATTGGGATCCACCCAGATGCCTGACGGGCAGCTGGCTCAGCCTCTCAGCACACCAAGAGCCTTAGCAAGCCTCTCCATTCCCCTCCAGAGCCTGACACTTCAGTGAGCACTGGAGGGGCAGAGCAGAGAGCTGACTGACAATCACAAGTTCTCTGCAGGCTGAAGGCTGAGTGCTGAGTGATCAGCATTGTGGGCAAAATATATGCAAAGCAGATACTTTAAAATAAAATGCTGTGCAGTGCCAAACAGGCCACAGAGTGAAGCTCTTCCAAAGCAGGACTGAAGGTATTTAACATTGCTGAATACACTAAAAGTGAACTCATCCTTACCACTAAAAGCAGCTCAGCAAAAGACACATTCAGCAGTAGTTAGAAGTCAGCTACAACTCACTGTTCAACATTCTGAATGTTTAGGACTTGGAGGTTAGTCACAGACTGATGACTCTGATGATCTGCAGCCATCTCTCATGGGTGTCACTGTAGACTGATATGATGCTAAAACTGCTTCTTGTGTAACCAGTTGCCTTTAGCTAAAATAAGTAAATACATTTTAATTTCCTTCAATTGTGTGTAAATTAACAGGATTATTCACTGCTGCTATATCAGGCTGAATCTGTTTGAATCATTTGTTTAGTGCTAGGACTGAAGGCATAATCTGGCTATTTACAAAGCCCTATACGTTATAGCATCTCACCTCCTGTTTGGTTGAAACGGCTCATCACTGTCCTTACATTGTGTCTGAATAGAGGTTCATTGCCTTTTAAGATATTTGTATGTCTTTCCCAGTACTCGGGTCCTTCATTCTTCTCCATCCATGTTGTCACAGGACGAGCCAGATGAGACTCACTATTGTAATTCATGAATTCATGTTCATCCACATATCCAACTATGGAGAACTCTGGTAAATCCAATCCTTTATCTGAGATTCCAGTGTAATAATACCGCAGAGTGTGCCCATCTGTGAGAGAAATACAGACTGTTATATATAACAAACAGTGCGACTGTCAGAGAAAGACTGAGACTTTACATATCGCACAATGTGACTGTCAGAGAAAGACTGAGACTTTACATATCACCGCACAGTGCGACTGTCAGAGAAAGACAGAGACTTTACATATCACCGCACAGTGCGACTGTCAGAGAAAGACAGACTTTACATATCACCGCACAGTGCGACTGTCAGAGAAAGACAGACTTTACATATCACCGCACAGTGCGACTGTCAGAGAAAGACAGACTTTACATATCACAGCACAGTGTGACTGTCAGAGAAAGACAGAGACTTTACATATCACAGCACAGTGTGGCTGTCAGAGAAAGACAGAGACTTTACATATCACCACACAGTGTGACTGTCAGAGAAAGACAGAGACTTTACATATCACCGCACAGTGCGACTGTCAGAGAAAGACAGACTTTACATATCACAGCACAGTGCGACTGTCAGAGAAAGACAGACTTTACATATCACAGCACAGTGTGGCTGTCATTATTAAAGTAGAATTCCACATAAAGCCTAACCCGTCTTAAAAATGCTTCCTCCCTCCATCACCTATGCCGACTAACCTGTGTATGAAAGATGTATATACTTACCTATTTTTAGCCCGCTGCAGTCCGGTCACGTGATCCCAGCCTACTGTGTCAGCCAAAAGCAGCTGCAGGGCAAGGGGCGGACTGACAACTCATGGGGCCCCCGGGGGGAAATAGGGGATCATGGGGCCCCTGTGTCCTTGCCCAAACTCAAAAAAGCTTATGAAAAAAGTACCAGGGGCATCTCATGGGGCCCCCTACTGACCCCGGCCCTCGGGCTGTGCCCGAGTATCCAAATGGTCAGTCTGCCCCTGTGCAGGGCACAAGAGGGGCCACTTACAACTTAAGGGACATAAGAGCCTATTATATACTGTATACAGTTGTGCAGCGCTCTGTTAACCTCTTTCTATAGACCCATAGCCTATCAACAGCGGACAAGAAGCTTTGCCGATGCGGGCTAACATATCTGTATGTCAGGCAATAATTAATGCAGTCAGTCCGTCACCTGTCCCAGTGCGCATAAAAACACCACCATAACCCACACCAGCATCCTGATCAACCCATACCCCATACCAGCATCCTGATCACTGCTATACCCCATACCAGCATCCTGATCACCACCATACCACATACCAGCATCCTGATCACCGCCATACCACATACCAGAGTCCTGATCACCACCATACCCCATACCAGCATCCTGATCACTGCCATACCCCATACCAGCATCCTGATCACCGCCATACCCCATACCAACATGCTGATCACCGCCATACCCCATAGCAGCGCCCTGATCACCGCCATACCCCATACCAGCATCCTGATCACCGCCATACCCCATACTAGCATCCTGATCACCGCCATACCCCATACTAGCATCCTGATCACCGCCATACCCCATACTAGCATCCTGATCACCGCCATACCCCATACTAGCATCCTCATCACCGCCATACCCCATACCAGCATCCTGATCACCGCCATACCCCATACCAGCGTCCTGATCACCGCCATACCCCATACCAGCATCCTGATCACCGCCATACCCCATACCAGCACCCTGATCACTGCTATACCCCATACCAGCGTCCTGATCACCGCCATACCCCATACCAGCATCCTGATCACCGCCATACCAACGGCCCTGATCACCGCCATACCCCATACCAGCATCCTGATCACCGCCATACCCCATACCAGCACCCTGATCACTGCTATACCCCATACCAGCGTCCTGATCACACCGCCATACCCCCATACCAGCATCCTGATCACCGCCATACCAACGGCCTGATCACCGCCATACCCCATACCAGCATCCTGATCACCGACATACCCCATGCCATCGCCTTGATCACCGCCATACCCCATACCAGCATCCTGATCACCGCCATGCCTCATACCATTGTCCTGGTCACCGCCATGCCCCATACCAGCGTCCTGGTCACCGCCATGTCCCATACCAGCGTCCTGGTCACCGCCATGCCCCATACCAGCGTCCTGATCACCGCCATGCTCCATACCAGCGTCCTGGTGACCGCCATGCCCCATACCAGTGTCCTGGTCACCGCCATGCCCCATACCAGCGTCCTGATCACCGCCATGTCCCATACCAGCGTCCTGGTCACCGTCATGCCCCATACCAGCGTCCTGGTCACCGCCATGCCCCATACCATTGTCCTGATCACCGCCATGCCCCATACCAGCATCCTGGTCACCGCCGTGCCCCATACCAGTGTCCTGATCACCGCCATGCCCCATACCATCGCCCTGATCACCGCCATGCCTCATACCAGTGTCCTGATCACCTCCATGCCCCAATACCAGCGTCCTGGTCACCGACATGCCCCATATCATTGTCCTGATCACCGCCATGCCCCATACCAGCGTCCTGATCACCTCCATGCCCCATACCATCGCCCTGATCACCGCCATGCCTCATACCAGTGTCCTGATCACCTCCATGCCCCAATACCAGCGTCCTGGTCACCGACATGCCCCATATCATTGTCCTGGTCACCGCCATACCCCATACCAGCACTCTGATCACCTACATGCTCCATACCAGCATCCTGATCACCACCATACCCCATTCCAGCATCCTGATCTCCGCCATACCAGCATCCTGATCACCGACATGCTCCATACCAGCATCCTGATCACCGCTGTCAGAATTTCTATGAGACGAAATAATACTTCTTCTTTCCAACTCAAACTATAATGGTCTTTAACTTAAGAGGCCCAGAAATCCAGAGTATTTCAGGTCTCAGTTCAAGCAGGATGCAATCTTCTTCCTAACTGAGACAGTTTGTTTTTTGCAAACAAAGCTGTTTTACAGAGCTCATCTTGTTGAACAATGGATCTCTCCCCACATAAGGTCTAGGAGAGATTCTTCTGATTGTTGTGCATATATTATTTATTTGACAAGTACAGAATTAAGAAAAACGACACCTCAGAACAGGAACAATGGGTTCTGTCCTTCTATTGCAAACGGAGAAAATGAGCAATATTTACCAGCCTTTGCACGCCTCATAAATGTATACTGTAGGGACATCTTGCGTCTGAGATTAAATTACACACAGGTGGATTCTATTTACTAATTAGGTGACTTCTGAAGGCAATTGGTTCCACTAGATTTTAGTTAGGGGTATCAGAGTAAAAGGGGGCTGAATACAAATGCATGCCACACATTTCAGATATTTGTAAAAAAATTGTGAAAACAATTTATCATTTTCCTTCCACTTCACAATTATGTGCCACTTTGTGTTGGTCTATCACATAATATACATTTTTATTTTTGGTTGTAAGATGACAAAATGTTGAAAATTTCAAGGGGTATCAATACTTTTCAAAGAACTGTTCAGAGTTTTGACACAAGAACGCATTGTAAGAAAGGAATACTGAATATTATCATCACCCCTCTCCCATGGCCCCACCACTGCTCTGATCTCCACTTCCACCCCACCCTACATTCCTCATACTGAAGCCCCCCCAACACTCCGCACCTTTGACCTTACTACCATCGAGGAAGTCTCCAAGATCCTCTCTGATGTCCGCCTCACCTCCTGCCCCCTCGACCCTATCCCATCACAAACTCCTACGACCTCCCTCCCCCTCCATCCTACGCTCCCTCACCAACATCTTCAATCTCTCCCTCTCCTCAGGCATTTTTCCCTCCCCTCTGAAAAATGCACACATCACCCCCATACTTAAAAAGCCCTCCCTGGACCCCAATGACCCGAACAAACTTCAGACCCATCTCCCTGCTCCCATTTACATCTAAACTCCTCGAGCGCCTAGTCTACACCCGCCTATGCTCTCACCTCAATGACAACAACCTCCTCGATCCCCTACAGTCCGGCTTCCGTCCCCTACACTCCACCGAAACTGCCTTACTCAAACTCTCCAACGACCTGCTAACCGCCAAAGCTAATGGCCACTATTCAGTGCTCCTACTCCTTGACCTCTCTGCGGCCTTCGACACAGTCGACCACCCCCTCCTCCTCAAAAAACTACACTCCCTCGGCCTCAGAGATTCTGCTCTCTCCTGGCTCTCATCCTACCTGTCACAACGCTCTTTCAGCATTACCTATAATGCTACCACCTCCCCCTCACTCCCCCCCCCCTCTCTGTTGGGGTCCCTCAAGGCTCTGTCCTCGGTCCCCTTCTCTTCTCCATCTACACCTCCTCCCTTGGCCAACTCATACACTCTCACGGCTTCAACTACCACCTCTATGCCGACGACACACAAATCTATCTCTCAACCCCCCACCTCACCCCCTCGGTCTCTGCCCAAATCACACACCTACTGAGCGACATATCAGACTGGATGTCGCTCCACTTCCTTAAACTGAACCTCTCCAAAACCGAGCTTCTTGTCTTCCCCACAGCCTGGACCCCACCCCCCATTGACTTCTCCATCACATCCAACAACGCCACCATCAAACCCGCCCCGCAGGCCAGAGTACTTGGTGTCATTCTGGACTCCAACCTGTCCTTCCAGCCCCAAGTCCAATCTTTAACTAACTCATGCAGACTCCACCTCCGCAACATCGCCAAAATCCGCACGTTCCTAACCCCAGAAACCACTAAACAGCTCATCCACTCCCTCATCATATCACAACTCTACTACTGCAACTCCCTCCTCACTGGCCTGCCTCGCCGCTGGCTATCCCCACTTCAGTCCATCCTGAATACGGCTGCCAGACTCATTCACCTTTCCAACCGCTCCATTTCTGCCACCCCCCTCTGCCAATCCCTCCACTGGCTTCCGATTGAGCAACGGATTGGATTCAAAATCCTAACACTGACGTACAAAGCTGTCCACCATACTGCCCCGAACTACATCACTGACCTAAAATCCAAGTACCGCCCAGCACGCACACTCCGCTCCTCACAAGACCTCCTTCTCTCTAGTTCCCTGGTCTCCTCCTCCCATGCCCGCCTCCAGGACTTCTCCAGGGTGTCACCCATCCTCTGGAACTCCCTGCCCCAACCCATCAGATTAATCACCTACTCTCCTCTCCTTTAGGCGCACCCTGAAAACCCATCTCTTCAGGGAAGCCTACCCCACCCCCTGCTAACTTGCCGACCTCCTCCACTCTTCCTACCACTCCATCCCCCACAGCTATCTCCTCCTGTGCCACCATCCCCTCCCTCCTAGATTGTAAGCTCCAAGGAGCAGGGCCCTCCATCCCCTCATGTTTTGCATTGTATTGGTATTGTTCTGTCACATGTTCTGTCCCCCTTTGTAATGTACAGCACTGAGTGAACTATCGGCGCTTTATAAATACTGTATATTAATAATAATAATAATATTAACACCGGCTGTAATGTGTAATCCTAATATATTTAGTGTGTTGAAAGTTATTTTATTGTAGAAATAGTGTACAGTATCTCACAGAAGTGAGTCCACCCGTTACATTTTTTGTAAATATTTTATTCTATCTTTTCATGTGACAACACTGAAATGACACTTTGCTACAATGTGACGTAGTGAGTGTATAGCTTGTATAACATGTAAATTTGCTGTCCCCTCAAAATAACTCAACACACAGCCATTAGGACAAGAGATGGAGACGTGATGATGTCACTTCCGGTGCAAGCGCCATTTTGATACACCCATAGGAGTACACCCAGGAGTTCCTATGAGGGTTTGTGAGCATGCTTTTTACTCAATACATGTGAGTGAGCATTTATTGTATTTTAATATATTAATAAATAAAACAATATCACACGATGGAAGGATTCTTCTTCTTGTTTTTATAAACACTGATGAGGAAGCCGAGTTGTAATTAGATCATATGAAAACCACCCGGATATCAGGATCAGTGATACCTGTAAGTTTCTGAAGGGGGATACCACCATTATTTGTGATACCGAATCTGATATGGAGGATTGGGCGGTTGGCTGTGCAGTTGAAAAAAGGTGGGATCTGTCACCGGTAAGATTGCTCCCTCACCTTCATGAAGCGCTTCGCTTCATGAAGGTGAGGGAGCAATCTTACCGGTGACAGATCCCACCTTTTTTCAACTGCAATATTTATGTTTATTGCTGGAGTTTTCTATATATCCAGCTATATTGAAGATAACACACATGGACGATTGTTTTTGTTTATTTACAATTGGTGGCACTTTTTTTGTGTTTACTTTAGAGTGTCACTTGATTTTTATTTGCGCATTCACTTATTTTTCATCTATTTATATAGCAGTATAGTCCCAAGTTTGGGGACTAGAACACAGTATATAAACTTATATATACACCGTTTTAAGTGGGCACTTGTTACATGTTAGTCGCACATTTATGTGGAAGGATTTTTATAGTCCTTGTGCATTGTCTTTTAGTCAGGTTAATTTATCCTGACCGTCCCATTGTTTGTTCATATAGGCACAATAGTGTCATTTGTCAGATATTTCTTCGCTACACCTTTTGGGCATTCATTTCATGCCACAGTGTTTTATCATGTGTGGTATAGTGATATTTGTTATTTCACCCTGTTTGGAGGACACAAATAGGTTTATGTATTTTGTTTTGTTGCGTGGTTTTGTTCATTTAATATAGTAGATATATCATTGTATATGATTGTATAGTATTATGAAGGATTGATTTTGTGTCATTATACACAGGAGGATTCATAAGGGGAATATTATCAACTTCACTTTGATTTAATATTTTACAGAAGTGTGGGAGCGCAGCACCGGTTTCTTTTATTTTGATCAGTATTCTATCCAGGTGTATAGCCAGGTGTCAGCAGCAACCCATCCCTAGGCCATTAGTGTATCCAGGGTAGTGCAGGTGATTCCCCATTGTTTTTTTTAACACACAGCCATTAATGTGTAAACCGCTGGCAACAAAAGTGAGTACAACCCTAACTGAAAATGTCCATTTTGGTCCAATTAGCCATTTTCCCTCCCCGGTGTCATGTGACTCCTTAGTGTTACAAGGTCTCACGTGTGAATAGGGAGCAGGTGTGTTAAATTTGGTGTCATCGCTCTCACTCTCTTACTGCTCACTGGAGGTTCAACATGGCACCTCATGGCAAAGAACTCTGAGCATCAAAAAAAAGAATTATTGCTCTACATCAGTGTTTCTCAACTCCAGTCCTCATGGACCCCCAACAGGTCATGTTTTCAGGATTTCCATTATTTTGCACAGGTGATTTGATCGGTTTCACTGCCTTAGTAATTACCACAGCTGTTTCATCTGAGGGAAATCCTGAAAACATGACCTGTTGGGGGTCCATGAGGACTGGAGTTGAGAAACACTGCTCTACATAAAGATGAAGCTCCATAGTAAAAACAGGGCTGTGGTGGTAGTAATATAAAAACCCCACTAGGGGGTAGTACCTTTATTGGAATAAGCAATGGAACATAAAACACAAGCCTGTGGCTTGGAGGAAGTGGACGGCCCGTCCGCTCAGGGATGATGTGCAGTGGTGATGAATGGAGTTAAGCCTGTCAGATGTAGGGACC